AGAAATGAATCTTGCTATGTTGTCCAGGCTTGTTGTCTTGAACTCCTGGCCTCGAGCAGTCCTCCCACCTTAGCCTCCTAAAGTGCTGGGATTACAGGCATGAGCCACCATGCCCAGCCTAGATTTATAATTACTATTTTATGCTTTTCTCTCTTAAATAAGAAAAAAGGAGGAGGCTATATGTGATGGCTCTTACCTATAATCCTAGCACTTTGGGAGACCGAGGCAGAAGGATCATTTTGGCACTGTGGTGCCTTAGCCAGGCACAGTGGTGCTTGTCTGCAGTCCCAGCTACTCAGGAGGCTGATGTTGGAGGATTGCTTAGGTCCAGGAGGAAGGCTGTGACCTGTGATCATGCAGCTGCACTACAGCCTGGGCAACAGAACGAGACCCTGTTTTTCTGTTTTTAAAAAGAAGTTACAAACCAAAAATATAATAATAGTGGCTTTTATATCTACCTAAGTAGGCTTTTGGCTTCTACTTATTGTCTGATGTCCTTTGATGGATTCCCTTTAGCATTTTTTGTAGGGAATATCAGCTTTTTTTTTTTTTGAGACAGAGCCTTGCTCTATTGCCCTGGCTGAAATGCAGTGGCATGCCTCAGCGTCCCAAAGTACTGGGATTACAGGTGTTAGCCACCATACCCAATCTCAGTTTTTGTTTATCTGGAAATACCTTAATTTCTACCTCATTAGTTTAGGATAATTTTCCTTGCTATAGAGTTCTTGGTAAACAGTTTTTTTTTTTGTTGTTGTTGTTGTTGTTGTTTTCAGCGTTTTAAGTATGTTATACCTCTGCCTCTGGCTTCCATGTTTTCTGATAAGAAATTGGCTGTTAATCTTATTGAAGATCTCATGTATGTTTCAGATCTCTTCTCTAGCTGTCAAGATTCTCTCTTCATCTTTGGCTTTTCACAGTTTAATAGTAGTGTGTCTCAATATGAAACTCTGAGTTTATCCTACTTAGAATTCATCAAGTTTTTTGGATATTGGATATGTAGATTCATTTCTTGTTTTTTGTTTTTTTGAGTCTAAGTCTCACTTTGTCACCCAGGCTGGAGTGCAGTGGCATGATCTCGGCTCTTGGCTCACTGCAACCTTCACTACCCAGGTTCAAGCAATTCTCCTGCCTCAGCCTCCCAAGTAGCTGGGATTACAGGTGCCTGACCCCATACCTAGCTAATTTTTTTGTTTTTAGTAGAGACAGGGTTTCACCATATTGGCCAGATTGCTCTCAAACTGCTGGGATTACAGGTGTTAGCCATCATACCTAGCCTAGATTTATTTATTTTACTAAATTTGGGGAGTTTTGGCCAGGTGTGGTGGCTCCTGCCTGTAATCCCAGTGCTTTGGGAGGCTGAGGCAGGTGGATCACCCAAGGTCAGTAGTTCAAGACCAGCCTGGTCAACATGGTGAAACCCCGTCTCTACTAAAAATACAAAAATTAGCCAGGCATGGTGGCAGGTATCTGTAATCCCAGCTACTTGGCAGGCTGAGGCAGGAAAATCACTTGAACCCAGGAGGCAGAGGTTACAGTGAGCCGAGATTGTGCCACTGCACTCCAGCCTGGAAGACAGGGCAAGACCCTGTCTCAAAAAATAAATTAGGGGTGACGATCCAAGATGGCCGATTGCTAACATCCCGGGATTGCACCTCTCAGTGAAGGCGCTGAGAACTAGAGGACGCCACACTTTCAGACAAATTCTGGTCGTTCACCGAGCGACTGATCCCCAGTAGAGGAAACACACGGGTCGCCAGCGCAACTCTCGTGGCCGGCACAGCGGTTCCGGCCGGCACCTTGGCTCGGCAGCTCTCAGAGCAGAGTAAACAGGTTTGGAGGACCCGCACAGGTCCCCAGCACAACACCAGAGCCCGGTGTAGAGGCTGTGATGGCACCTCGGCGTGGCAGCGCTCGGCGCAGAGTAAACGGTTCCCCTTCTGACCGAGGTTTGGAGCCCCGGGAAGGCAGAGTCACCTACTACGGACACAAGAAGGAAGCCCGACAGGAGAATCCTGGGAAGAAAAGCACCATCAGTTTTAACGACGCTGCTCTGGCCCTGGGAACTAACAACCTGGACGTCCACTCAAGAGACCTAATCTGAAAGTTGGTAAATTCAAAGACGACAGGAGGATAAATTTACAATGACGGGAAGAAACCAGCGTAAAAAAGCTGAGAATACTCAAAGTCAGAATGCCTCTCCCTCTAAAGATGATCACAGTTCCACATCAACAATGGAACAAGGCTTGATGGAGAACGAGCACATCCCAATGATGACAGAAGTACTCATCAAGGAATGGATAATAACAAACTTCGGTGAGTTAAAAGAACATGTTGTAGCCCAATGTAAAGAAACTAGGAACTTTGAAAAAAGGTTTGATGAAATCCTATTGAGAATAGACAACTTAGAGAGGAGTATGAATGAATTAATGGAACTGAAGAATACAATACAGGAACTCCGAGAAGTATGCACAGGTTTAAACACTCGAATTGTTCAGGCAGAAGAAGGGATATCAGAGGTCAAAGTCCAACTTAATGAAATAAAATGTGAAGAAAAGATTAGAGAAAAAAGGATAAAAAGGAATGAACAAAGTCTCCAAGAAATGTGGGACTATGTGAAAAGACCAAATTTACGTTTGATAGGTGTACCTGAATGCGACGGAGAGAATGAATCCAAGCTGGAAAATACCCTTCAGGATATTATTCAGGAAAATTTTCCTAAACTAGCAAAGCAGGTCAATATTCAACCCCAGGTAATACAGAGAACACCACAAAGATATTCCTCAAGAAGAGCAACCCCAAGGCACATAATCATTAGATTCACCAGGGTTGAAACGAAGGAGAAATTACTAAGGGCAGCCAGAGAGAAAGGTCAGGTTACCCACAAAGGCAAGCCTGTCAGACTTACAGCAGATCTCTCAGCAGAAACTCTACAAGCCAGAAGAGAGTGGGGGCCAATATTCAACATCCTCAAAGAACAGAACCTTCAGCCCAGAATTTCATATCCAGCCAAACTAAACTTCACAACTGAAGGAAAAATAAAATCTTTTATGAACAAGCAAGAACTCAGAGATTTTATTACCACCAGGCCTGCTTTACAAGAGCTTCTGAAAGAAGCATTACACATAGAAAGAAACAACCAGTATTAGCCTTTCTCAAAATATACCAAAAAGTAAAGAGCACCAACATAAAGAAGAATTTACACCAACGAATGGATCAAACAGCGAGTTAACATCAAATGGCAGTAACCCTAAATTTAAATTGACTAAATCCCCCAATCAAAAGACACAGCCAAAACCCAACGGCATGTTACATCCAGACCCGTTTCACATGCAAGGATACACAAAGACCCAAAACAAAGGGATGGAGAAAGATTTACCAACCAAATGGAGAGCAAAAATAAATAATAAATAAATAAAAAGCAGGCATTGCAGATCTTGTATCGGATAAAATAGATTTTAAAGCAACAAAGATACAGTGGTAAAAGGATCAATGCAACAACAAAAGCTAACGATCCTAACACCCAGATACATAAAGACTTAGACTCAGTGAGACAGAAAATTAATAAGGATATCAAGGACTCGAACTCAGATCCAGAACAAGTAAACTTAATAAATATTTATAGAGCTCCCCACTTCAAATCCACAAAATATACATTCTTGTCCATACCACATCACACCTACTCATAAGTTTAAATGAAACATTGATTGGCCATTATTAATACCCATTTTTTTTAGAATAAAGCAACATTTCCATTCTCTCTCCCTCTTTTTCTTCCTCTTTCTTCCTCTCCTTCACTCCTTTTTTTTCTTTCCTTCTCTCAAAAAAAAAAAAGAAAAAAAGAAATCAACTTGTAGACCTCCAGATCCAGGTTGGCAATGTCTTTCTCATTGCCTGATTTCCTTCCTTCCCTTCTCTCCCTCCCTCCCTCACTCCCTTTCTTCCTCCCTCCCTCCCTTCCTGCCTTCCTCCCTTCCTACAAAATAAAAAAAAAAAAAGAAAGTAAAGGTACAGGAAATGTAAATATCAGAGCAGGCACAAAGCTTAAAGCTTAATTGAAACAAGTCTGAAGGGATTATAGATGACAGTCTACCAAACTATTCAAAGTCTGTTTTTAAAAAGGGAGTTAAAACTAGCTTTCCCCAAAAGAGAGACTGTTGTTCATTGCTAATGTATAGGAGTACTACAGCATGGGACTGTTTTTGATACTACTGCTGTGGAACTAGTTTAAAGAAGACATGTCTGTAAATTTTAAGGTTGGAATGAGGCACTCTTTTTTTTTTTCTTTTCTTTTAAGGCAGAGTCTCACTCTGTCACCAGGCTGGAGTGCAGTGGCACAATCTTGGCTCACTGCAACCCCTGCCTTCCAGGTTTAAGCAATTCTCCTGCCTCAGCCTCCTAAGTAGCTGGGACTACAGGTGCACACCACCATGCTAGCTAATTTTTTTATGTTTTTAGTAGAGATGGGGTTTCGCCATGTTAGCCAAACTGGTCTCAAACTCCTGACCTCAGGTGATTGGCCTGCCTCAGCCTCCCAAAGTGCTAGGATTATAGGTGTGAGCCACTGTGCCTAGCCAAGCACTCTTAACTAAGGGAAAAGGAGAAAAGCTCACCTAGAGATAGAAGATAGCCAAATGCCCCAAATTCCATCAAACTCAAAACTTATTTTTGAGGCGGAATTAGTGGCTATCGATTGAAATAACAGAACTGTGAATTAACAACAATGACATAAACCTGTGGCCTTGAAAAAACATCTGCGACTTACTGTTGTTTACTTTTGTGAATAATTCTTCAGGGAGTTAAATTAAATCTTGCTTGCTTGCTTACTTGTTCATCGCCTTTTGAGAATGTGTTCCTTTACAAATCCTTGAAGCCTAAAATATGTTATTGTATGTAAAATACTGGTTAGGGAAATTGATTTTTCTTTTACCTCATATTGTGAACTGAAAAGCTCGATACTTTTTTTTAAAGACACACAGTTTGACATGTACTTTGTCTTACAGGCAGTGAGGTCACTCAAGGAGACAATCGAAGACTGTTGGGACCAGGATGCAGAGGCTCGGCTTACTGCACAGTGTGCTGAGGAAAGGATGGCTGAACTTATGATGATTTGGGAAAGAAACAAATCTGTGAGCCCAACAGTCAATCCAATGTCTACTGCTATGCAGAATGAACGGTAAGACCCTAAGGGGTGTGGCATCTATCAATCAGTATTAGAAACTGAGACCTAACAAAGAATAGAAAACAAATACTGTTAAACCAGCCTAATGGTTCAATGATTACCTCGTACAATCTAAAGTTATCATTTGTCTTTCAGTATTCCTATTTACTGAACATTTTTGTTTGGTATAAGTACAAAATGAAATCTGCATTTTTTTTTATATGTAAAAATATAGTGAAAGAACTTAGTATTTCTCTATGGTCTAACTTTCCTGCAATAATAAAGGTAAAACATTTTAATAACTAAAAGTTCATAAGCACTTCTATATAAATTGTCTCATTTATCCTTTGTTGTTATTATTCCTTCCTCCTCTGCTTTTTTCCTTAAGTCAATAGAACTGTGAACTTGCCTATCTAACGACTGTCACTGATGCTACCGTTTCTAGACTTTCTATCTAATACTCTTTCTTATAGAATACACTACTACTACATGAAAGCAATTCAAAGGTCTTTCTATTCCATCATGAATATTATTTTATAAGACATTTCCTTTATTAGAACTATGATTTTTGGTTTTAAATAAAGAGACTTTAAAAAAAATCACTACAATTTGGAACTTTCTACGTCTGTATTTCTTTGTTCCATGTTTGGGAGAAAAGAAAGCCTTTCTATGACTTTGTCATTTTGTCTAATACATGTTTAAAACTTTCAGAAAGGCATCCAGGAAAGCGGTACTGGCGAAAATTGAAATAAAAATACACTTGATTCTTGAAACTTTTTTGGGGGGAGGGGGAACTGAGTCTCACTCTGTCACTCAGGCTGGAGTGCAGTGGCGCAATCCTGGCTCACTGCAATCTCCCCCTCCTGGGTTCAAGAGATTCTCTTGCCTCAGCTTCCCCAGTTGCTAGGATTACAAGCATGAGCCACCTAATTACAGGCCCAACTAATTTTGTATATTTAGTAGAGATGGGATTTCACCATGTTAGCCAGGCTGATCGTGAACTCCTGACCTCTGGTGATCCACCTGCTTTGGCCTCTTAAAGTGCTGGCGTGAGCCACCGTGCCTGGCTGTGAGCCACTGTGCCTGGCCTATTTTCTGTTGTTCTAATTTGTGAAAGCTATTTATATTAGCCATAGGTAAAAAATGTGGTTTGTACTACTTTTGTATAGGTTAAATTAGTTTCAGATATAAACTTATACCTTATATATCAGCAAGTCAGGAAAGGTAGACACTGGCAATTGTAATCATAAGTTTTCTCACTTTCAACATACCTGAGGACAGTCTTCTGCTTTCATCTCCCCTCATCTCTGTATTTCCCATGTCCTCTAGTATGGTGTTTATACTTTTCTCAAAAGTCAGCTAAAGCTTTTACTTCGAATGCTTTCAAACTTTTCTTTAATGGTAAGAAAAGAAACCCTTGATGCCCCACCTTGATTTGGCCATTTTTTTGCCTCCCATGTCATTCAGCTTGACCTTCTCCATGCATCTTCTCATCTCCGGTCTCTACTAATGATTTCCCATAGTTACTCTAACTCTACGTTTTATTTTACTGAATCTTACCCTCCATGTCTCCTTAGCTTCCTTTTCTTGTACTGTTTAACAACTCTTTCTTCTTTTCCTCCTGTCATCTCCCTTATAAATAACTGTCACTCCCAAGGAATGACAATGACAGTGAAAAACCCATGATAATTAGAGAGCAGTTCTGAATCTTTGGTTCTTTATTTGAACATCACATTCTTCCTTATACCTTGGGCTCAAGGACTTTTGCTCAAATGGCTCAGACTACTCCAGAAAGATATGTGCCATTGCTAGGGCATGCCTCTTAATGGAGGCCTTTGGAACAACCTAAAAGCTTATATTCTTTTTACCATTTGGCCATTGGAAGATAATTGACAACATACCTTTTGAGTAGGTACTATGCATCTAGAATTATGGAAGTAAAAAAGAAACATATGCCATGATTCTTCCTTTCATAAAACATAATGTCTGGTTGTATGAATATACAGTTCATAAATAGATATTTTGTGATGTTATAAAACTATAGGAGAGATTTTTTAATTAACTCTTATAAACCAAAATAATGGACATTTATAAAAATCATATCTGATTCACATAAATTTTTCAGTAGGCTTTATTCATCTAAAACTAACACTTAAGTTATTAATTGATACTTGATTATTTGATTAGACTTTTTAACTAACCTTTAGAAAAATATATGTTTGGAAGAAAATGAAAAACAGCTCAGACTTTAAAATCAGAGGTGTTAAACTTGGAGAGACAGTTTGTCATAAATGTCTGTTCTCAATGTGACACTTTTTTTCTTTCTTTAAGCAACCTGTCACATAATAGGCGTGTGCCAAAAATTGGTCCTTATCCAGATTATTCTTCCTCCTCATACATTGAAGACTCTATCCATCACACTGACAGCATTGTGAAGAATATTTCCTCTGAGCATTCTATGTCCAGCACACCTTTGACTATAGGGGAAAAGAACCGAAATTCAATTAACTATGAACGACAGCAAGCACAAGCTCGAATCCCCAGCCCTGAAACAAGTGTCACCAGCCTCTCCACCAACACAACAACCACAAACACCACAGGCCTCACTCCAAGTACTGGCATGACCACTATATCTGAGATGCCATACCCAGATGAAACAAATCTGCATGCCACAAATGTTGCACAATCAATTGGGCCAACCCCTGTCTGCTTACAGCTGACAGAAGAAGACTTGGAGACCAACAAACTAGACCCAAAAGAAGTTGATAAGAACCTCAAGGAAAGCTCTGACGAGAATCTGATGGAGCATTCTCTTAAACAGTTCAGTGGGCCAGACCCACTGAGCAGTACTAGTTCTAGCTTGCTTTACCCACTCATAAAACTTGCAGTAGAAGCAACTGGACAGCAGGACTTCACACAGGCTGCAAATGGCCAAGCATGTTTAATTCCTGATGTTCTGCCTACTCAGATCTATCCTCTCCCCAAGCAACAGAACCTTCCCAAGAGACCTACTAGTTTGCCTTTAAACACCAAAAATTCAACAAAGGAGCCCCGGTTAAAATTTGGCAGCAAGCACAAATCAAACTTGAAACAAGTAGAAACTGGAGTTGCAAAGATGAATACAATCAATGCAGCAGAACCTCATGTGGTGACAGTCACCATGAATGGTGTGGCAGGTAGAAACCACAGTGTTAATTCCCATGCTGCTACAACCCAATATGCCAATGGGACAGTACCGTCTGGCCAAACAACCAACATAGTGACACATAGGGCCCAAGAAATGCTGCAGAATCAGTTTATCAGTGAGGATACCCGGCTGAATATTAATTCCAGTCCTGATGAGCATGAGCCTTTACTGAGACGAGAGCAACAAGCTGGCCGTGATGAAGGTGTTCTGGATCGTCTTGTGGACAGGAGGGAACGGCAACTAGAAGGTGGCCGAACTAATTCCAATAACAACAACAGCAATCCATGTTCAGAACAAGATGTTCTTACACAGGGTGTTCCAAGCACAGTAGCAGATCCTGGGCCATCAAAGCCCAGAAGAGCACAGAGGCCTAATTCTCTGGATCTTTCAGCCACAAATGTCCTGGATGGCGGCAGTATACAGAGTAAGTGGAGGGATCATATAATCTCTCCTGTGTGTCTCTTGGGGCCATTTAAATAACTACTTAGAATCAACTCAATAGATATATTTCAGCTAGTGATTATTTACCTTTACCACTTTTGTAAATAAGCCATTTGAGGCTGGGCAAAGTGGCTCATATCTATAATCCTAGCACTTTGGGAGGCCGAAGCAGGTGGATTACCTGAGGTCAGGAGTTCAAGACCAGCATGGCCAACATGGCAAAACCCCATCACTACTAAAAAATACAAAAATTAATCCAGGCACATTGGCTGACGCCTGTAATCCCAGCACTTTGGGAGGCCAAGGCCAGCAGATTACTTGAGGTCAGGAGTTCAAGACCAGCCTGGCCAACATGGTGAAACCCCATCTCTACAAAAATACAAAAATTAGCTGAGCATGGTGGCGTGTGCCTGTAATCCTAGCCGCAATCATGACCCTTCACTGTAGCCTGGGCAAAAGAGCGAAACTCCATCTCAAAAATGAAATAAAATAAAATAAGCCATTTGGTTGGGCCTCAAAGGTAATTAACTGTTGTAAAGAAAAAAGTAATATTTTTTGTCATTGATAATTAAAAAGTCAGTATCACAATAGTCAGAATAATTACCAATTTAATATGTGCTTTATGTGGCTGCTGCTTTATAATGCAACTCATATACTTGCTATGAAAAGTTGAAATTAAGTAAATACTAGTTCAAAAGCTCCAAGTAATTTTATGCCAGTATAACCCTTGAAACAGTTTATTGCACATATTAATATCAATTATGTCTACATTTAGATTTTATCAAACTAACCTTAATAAATCTTAAAATTCCAGAGAAATTTCAGAAAAATTACTATAAAGAAACTGTAGCTGGGCACAGTGGCTCACATCTGTAATCCCAGTGCTTTGGAAGACTGAGGTGGGTGGATCACTAGAAGCCAGGAGTTCAAGACTAGCCTGGGCAACATAGCAAAAACGCATCCCTACAAAAAATTTAAAAATTAGTTGGGTATGGTGGTGCATGCCTGTAGTCCTAGCTACTTGGGAGGCTAAGGCAGGAAGATCACTTGAGCCTAGGTGTTCAAGGGTATGGTGAGACATAATTATACCACTATACTTCAGCCTGGACAAGAGAGTGAGACTCTGAAAACAAAACAAAACTGTAAGATTCTTCCTAGTTTCTTAGTATTATCTTTTTCAAGAGGTATGTGTTGAATCTCTCACATACCTATACCTTTTTTTTTTTAAGACACGGTCTCACTGTTGCCCAGGCTGGAGTGCAGTGGCAAGATCATGGCTCACTGCAGCCTCAACCTCCTGGGCTCAGGTCATCCTCCCACCTCAGCCTCCCAAGTAGCTGGAACTCCATACTTTACTATGATACTATGAGCCCCATAGCATCTTAAACAAATAACTTAAACTGATACTTGGTTTCTTGCCCTAAAGGGATTGCAATACAAATCAGGAGAACTCACCAAAATCTGTAGCAGTTATTGTTATACAAAATGATTTTTATTTTATTTTATTATTATTATTTTTTAGACAGAGTCTTGCTCTGTCTTCCAGGCTGAAGTGCAATAGCATGATCTCAGCTTACTGCAACCACCACCTCCTGGGTTCAAGCACTTCTCCTGCCTCAGCCTCCCAGCATGATCTCAGCTCACTGTAGCCTCTACCTCCTAGGTTCAAGTGAGTCTCCTGCCTCAGCCTCCCCAAGTAGCTGGGATTACAGGCATGCACCACCATGCCCCACTAATTTTTGTATTTTAGTAAAGGAGCGGTTTGCCATGTTGTCCAGGCTGGTCTTGAATGCCTGGCCTCAGGTGATCTACCCATCTCAGCCTCCCACAGTGCTGGGATTACAGGCATGAGCCACCATACCTAGCCGTTTTCTCTTTTAGACTAAGGCATTTATGAAAAAAGGTTATGCTTTATGATTATTAGGGCTACAAAATGGGCTGAAAGAAGGATACAGATCTCAAAGAACAATCAGTAAAATTTAGCCACTTGCTTAAGTGGCTTATATTATAGACCAGTTGACCGACCCTTATTGCAGGGCTCTGAGTCAGTCAGACGTCAGACATGGGAAGAGGAAATAACTAGAATATTTGTACTCTAATATTTCTGTCATTCTTCTGAAAAATATTGTATGCCAGGTGCCTTTAAAATTTGATCCAGGCCAGGCATGGTGGCTCACACCTGTAATCCCAGCACTTAGGGAGGCTGAGGCGGGCGGATTGCCTGGGCTTGGGAGTTCAAGACCACCCTCGGCAACATGATGAAATCCCCCTGTCTCTACTAAAATACAAAGAATTAGCCAGGCATGGTGGCATGTACCCGTAGTCCCAGCTACTTGGGAGACTGAGACATGAGAATCGCTTGAGCCCAGGAGGTGGAGGTCGCAGTGAGTCAAGATCGTATCACTGCACTCCAGCCTGAGCTACCAAAAAAAAAAACATTGATCCACCTTGAGCATTAAATACAATATTAAGTACATTTTACTAAAACCAGAAGATTTAAGAATACAGCTGAGAGCTTTAAATTTTCTTCCCTGTTTTTGTTTTTTATGTTTTTCCTTGTCCTATAGAATAAATCAGTCAGTACGTTGGTTAAGCTTTGCCTAGAAAAACATTGCCTAGCATTATGAATTTCAAGAAATGTTCATTAGCACCCTCTTCAGACATTGGTTTGACCTTTTCTTGAGTTACATCCCTCACCCTTTATTTCTTAAGTTTGTAATGCAGTTCATTTTTCTGCACTTTTATTTTCAATAGGTGAGTCAACACAAGATGGCAAATCAGGATCAGGTGAAAAGATCAAGAAACGTGTGAAAACTCCCTATTCTCTTAAGCGATGGCGCCCCTCCACCTGGGTCATCTCCACTGAATCACTGGACTGTGAAGTCAACAACAATGGCAGTAACAGGGCAGTTCATTCCAAATCCAGCACTGCTGTTTACCTTGCAGAAGGAGGCACTGCCACAACCATGGTGTCTAAAGATATAGGAATGAACTGTCTGTGAAGTGTTTTCAAGCCTACGGAGTGAAATTATTTTTTGCATCATTTAAACATGCAGAAGACGTTTTTAAAAAAAAACAAAACTGCTTTATCCTCCTGTCACCACCCCCTCCCACCCCTGCAACAAGGACTTGCTTTAAATAGATTTCAGCTATGCAGAAAAATTTAGCTTATGCTTCCATATTTTTAAATTTTGTTTTTTAAGTTTTGCACTTTTGTTTAGTCTCGCTAAAGTTATATTTGTTACGACCACAGAGTTATATGTGTGCGTATCAAAAGTGGTCTCAAAATATTTTTTTAAGAAAAAAAGCAAAAACAATATTGCTGATAATCAGTTTGGACCAGTTTCTTAAGGTCATTAAAACAGAAGCAAATTAAGACAGGTTTGACTACAGTGGTGTCTGGTATTCATGTTTTATTTCTGGGCACAAGCTAGTTTTTTATGTTGATGTGTTCCTGAACATATTATCTGTTGGACATCTTTTCTCTTGTGTTTTGTTTGAATGTGCAATAGTTTATAGGCCACAAGTAAGCTTTCTTGTAAGCTCTCTTCCTAATAGGGCATATTTTCTTCCATAATATAAGCATTTTTTCTGCCCCATCTCCCATACTTTTGTAGGTCAGTTCTATGACAGTGAATTTTGCACAGGAGAAGCAGCTACCTGATTTCTCACTTTCTCCCTCCTTGTGAAGGAGAATGCAGAAATATTGTCTCAAAGGGCTCTAAAGAAGAAACTACCAAAACCTTATTTTAAATGCCATTGCTTTTAACCTTCCAAATCCTAAATATTTTCTTCCAGGCATTTTAATAAACATATTTGCTTCTGGTTTTGGGAGTTCATAAGAGAGAATAGAACAAAATACAGGACATCAAATATTAGCCATTTCCCATTTTATTTTTCTATGTATGCTCATGTTCCATGTTCATTTATTTAAGAAATACATTTTTATTGGTAAGCTTATGGAGCTATACTTATGAAATTTTTAAGTAGGTAAATAAATGGTTAAGACAAAATAGTGTTACAGCCTTCATTCTCTGAATAGGTCATCTTTGACTCATAAAATTACACTTACTGTTTATTATAACTTCAGAAGTAATTTATAGTTCTGAATCTATAGTATCATTTACTCTGTTCCTAAGCAAAGACTGGTGACTTTATCTGAAAATGATTCCTCTTCCCATGACCTAAAACACTGTGTGGAAAAATCATTCAAGTGGCATGCCAAATCCCTAATGGAAGGAAGGGCTTCTGTCAAACCTACCTTTTTTGAGCAGACTGAGACTAAACTTCTCTTTTCAGAATTATGTTACCTTCTTTAATTCTGTTTTCATAATTTTTCCTTTTGCCAGTTTTTCACATTATTTTTGATATGTGAGCAACATTTATTATTTTGACTTGAAATCATTGTTTTTTAAAGCTTCTCTTCTTTCATTACTTATAATCTTCTCTACAACAACCTCTACATGTTTTTTTTTAATAAAGTACTTTCTGTCAAATAGGGGACTTTTTTCTAAACACAAATTATTTTCCATCTTTGCAAACAATGATTTCACTTAAAAATTTTTTTTTAATTATCAGATTAGTTAGTAAATGTCATATAGTTAAGTTCTAAGATATTTCCAGGGATTAAAAGGTTAAGAGGAAAACAAAAATCACCAAATTTCTGATTTAGGTTTTTATCTCCTGAACAATATTTTTCACTATATTCCTCCATCTCATCACTTAGCTAAAGACAGCCTAAATTTCCCAATTTTCTGTCCAAAATACTTGTGATTTATTTGTATATAAGCCATCTCATTTGCCACGTGCTGTGATCTTACAAGTTAGTTGTTACTACACACACCATTTATTCAGCTAGATTGCTGAACACAGTTCTGGATTCTTAGAATTAAGATTATTTTATTAGTGCCCAGAATTCCCACATTTTGTGTTTTATTGGACCTTATCCTGATTCAGATCCGTAACCGATTTTCAGTCTTATGGCATATAATTTTTTTCACAGTTACTATTCTTTTAACAAATTATTTCTATCTTTTCCAGTACATTTTCACTTAGTTCTCTTGACCTGAAATATCTTTCAGATGCATTTTAGGATATTCTTTTCAAATATTTGTAGGACAACTTTGAATCAAAATAAATTATATTCCTTCTCCAATTTGAAGCATTGAGGATAGACAACCATTTGAGGCCTAACTGATCTTTTCCTTCCAGAAGAATTATCTTATGTTCTGCTGTATTTGTATTTAGGCCAGTTGATTGTAGGTTTTCCAACATTTTCTACTATTTGGAAAATGATAACATAATGCCTTAAAAAATTAATATGCCAGATTAACTGAATAGTTTACCATTTCGTTCAAGCATGTTTAAAACAAATAATTTCCTTTCACCAGTTTTTCTTAGTAGACTCTTGAAAAGTAGGAAAAGTGGAAAGTATATATTATTTTAATAAATTTTAAATTAAATTATACATCAGACTTATAATCTGTAAGATACAAGCAAGCAAAATTATTTTAAATGACTTAATTACTTGCTAATATTCATCTGATAATAAATGTTTCTTAAAGTTGACATTTAACTGCCATCACAAAATTTTACATGTACAAAAGTGGGTCCTTTTGAATAAAAGATTATTCAACTAAAAATATTAAAATTTATTTCACTAGATGATAATGTAACCTTAAAAGCATCATAATAGGCTGGGCGCGGTGGCTCACGCCTGTAATCCCAGCACTTTGGGAGGCCGAGGCGGGTGGATCATGAGGTCAAGGGATCGAGACCATCCTGGTTAACATGGTGAAACCCCGTCTCTACTAAAAATGCAAAAAATTAGCTGGGCATGGTGGCGCGTGCCTGTAATCCCAGCTACTGGGGAGGCTGAGGCAGGAGAGTTGCCTGAACCCAGAACTCTTTTGTGCGTAATTGGCAAAAAAGAAAAAAAAAACTGTTACCAGTGTAGGAAATTACGAAAAGGCACATACTGAATGCTGAAGTATACATATACTAGTTATTTTAAACCTCAGAGCAACCATATGAGCATTATAGTTAATATCCCCATTTTACAGATAAGGAAACCGAAGCTAAGAGAAACTAAGTAAATATGCCCAAGATCCACATCTAGTAACAGACAAAGGTGGGATTTCAGTCTGGGTCTACCTCTCTCCACACTGTTTCATCCGTACCACATTGCCTACAATGCCATATGACAGGATGTGTAATGGGCTAAGGTTTATTTTAAAAATTTAGTCACTGTAGTCTGGCATAATTGTTATTTGTATATAAGCCAAACCACATACTTTAATGATTTGAGAAGTTAGGCAAATATAAGGTATGTAGACATAATCTATGCTGATTGTTGCTTGAGAAATAATTGCTAATTCAAGACAAAACTCAATCCTCTATCTCCCATCATGAATCTTAAAATCATTTCACTTCACTCACAACATTCTTATGTTGCAGAACTAAAGGTAAAGTAAATTTCAAGGAAAAAGATAAGATAGCTTTTGGGAACAGCGACTTTTCTCTAAATTGATTCCATAGTAGACTTGGGGGAATTAATTTAACACAAAATTTCAGTCTCATCAATCCTTTGAATCCATCTTCAAGACTTCTGCTTTTAATAAATTTAGAGAATTTACCAATCCATAGAACTAATAGAGTAGGATATAGGAAGGATACAAGGATAATATCCTTTTTATAAAACAGTTTAGTGTAGCTTCTTTACATGTATCCAGTTTTTCCAGAAAATGTGCATTGGTTCTGAATGTAAACTATTTAAAGAGAGAAAGGAACAGTCAAGTAAATGTGGGCTTCAGTGGGAATTATCACAAAAATTGGCAAGTATTTTAATTTAAATTATTTTCAAATTTGACTTCTACAGCCAAATGGAATTAGTAGGCTGTAGCTGTTATTCTGAAATTTCCCAGTCTCTTTAAGTCTCTCCTGAAAATAATTTAAAATAGAAACATATTTCAAGGAACTTTTAATTTCCTTTTTCATATTTATGGACATGAATATTCTATTGGAGATCATTAACTCCTAGAATTTGAGAATATATTTCTATACAACATTTTACAAAGTTATGTTGAACTTACTACCTGTTATGTGCAGGTTATTTATTTTGTAACTATTCACAGATGGCTTCATATATTGCTTTATCTTCCCAGCTAACTTCTTAAAGTTAGAATCTATACATACATGTTGGTTATCTAGACCAGTCATCCTAGAAATTGTGTAACCTCTCACATAAACCCCAAGAGATTTTCAGAATGCAGTGTTTCAAATATACTGTTTACTGGCAATTTACTTTTCAGCACATAAGGTTGCATTTTAACTTTTACATTATGAACTTTGCAAACTTTACCCAAAGCTACCTTGCATGATTCCCTCCTAAATATATTCCTTGATTAAGTAAATCTGGCAAATCACTGTTTGAGCTAGTTACTTCAAATTTCGAGAAGGCTTCTCTACAAATTTCCAGATTAACATACAAGAAGAGGAAATCACAGAGCATTTAAGTGCGCTTTCCTTAAATCACCTCATAGTTTATGTCTCACTTAACTCTACACCTCAGTTATCTGATTGGTTGTCTGTGTCAGGATAGTTTTCTTCATATCTATTCCGTCTCTCTCCTCTTTGATCTTAAATTCTTTTCTTTTACCCAGTAGGACCCAAAAGAGAGCAGCTGGTCATCATCCCCAGTATTCTTAGTCTTCAGTATGCTTCAGGCCTCTCAATGAACACTGAAGCCTCAATTCTTCAGACAAAATGGCTTTAGATCTTTCTCCTCAGTCCTATTGTAATGACTTTATTTTTAAGAACATAAAATTATATTTTCTTTTATATTCAAATTCATGACTCCAGTTAAGTAACCGTTTGATAGTTTGAATTGAGAGTTAAGATGTTTCTATTTGAAACGGATTCAACCATCATACTACCAGCAAATCAGCTCTTAATTTTTGTATTATCTAACATTTTCTATTATGGAATTTTATGTTTTTATATTCTCACTAGTTATAACTAAAAAGCCATGCATACAGAATTATATATCATTTTGCCATTAAAATTTTTTAACTTACATTGCAGCAAGCTTAGTTTTATGATTGAGCCACAACATTTTACATATTTCTTTGTATCAAATATTAAATGCTAAATGCAAGATTAACTTTCAAAAGCAAACCTTACATTAATCAGGTATATCTATGGACATTTTTGTAGACCACTTTTGAAATACTTATTATTTTGCAACAGACTGGAGTATAACAGCTTTTATTTAACTTTTAGGTGACTCATTTGAATGTGCATATAAAGAAAAACTTAGAAATTTATCTCATGGCAGATACATTTGAAAGTACTTCAGAAGAATTTATGCTGTGTATTAAAACTATGCTCAAAATAAATCATATCTTAAAAATTTCAATTCTCTTATTGTGATGTTTATAGTGTTACTATTAAACATTGTGAACATACACTTTCATTTTTAAAACAACTTGAAACCCATTTTAAAATCTGGGTAAGAGAAGGAATCTTCAGAACCAAATCACATCACTAGGGTGTCCAGTTTATGACTGAATTTTTAAGCAAATTGGTGTATTTGAAACTACAACTTGATTTGTTTTTCAGTTTTAAAAGGCAGCATGTTGGTTTTATACATTTTATTTTTACCTTTAGATTTCAGAAACATCTTCATGGTTTTTTTTTTTTATATCCTTGCAGTAATTGGTAACAATCTTCATGTTTTAAGATTCATTCTATAGACATCATATTACTTAAAAACTCAGGGCCCTTTTCATCCCTTTGTACACTGAAAAAGTTCAATTGGTAGCAAATAAGCAGTTAGATCCAGTTGAATATTTAAAGTGTTTGTTGCACAGCTCATTTAATGTTTCACCTTACTTGACTTTTTCACATAGAATATCAGATTTTATTAATCATAAAAAGTTACCCAGTTCTGTAATTACTGAACAGAGGGAATGACTCAACTAATTTGCTACATGTTGCAACAAACTTAGGCCTATAGTGCTGGAGCACTGATTTAAAACGATTTACATTTCTGTTCTTTGGTCAAATGACCATACATGATATGGGACAAATTGTTCCATTTTGTTTGTTTTTAATAAGATAGTAAAGTAGTTCCTCTCAGATAGGATTTTCTCCAGAGACAATTTAGGGTTATGAAGCGTTCTTCGAAAAGTGAACTAAGTATTTTACAACTTTAGTAATAACTTGAATGGTTTTGAGAAAATAACCTATAATATTTATCACATTGTCAGAGTGAAACAATTTTTCTTTGAATCAGACAAGTTCAAGCTCTAAGTTGATATAACTTAAAATCCTAGAAAGTTATCCATAAGCAGTCTCTTGTCTCAGGCTCTTCACCTTATATTACCAATCCTCTCAAGTATGTAAAGGAAACATTTTTAAAGAAGCTTAAAAGTAAGAAAAAAATACTAAAAGATGCAATTCAAAGATGGATAGGTCCCAGTTTAACATTGAATTGCTTGACTTCTGTGGATTTTCTTTTTCTGGCCACATTTATTTATTTAAGCAATTTTTGTATGCCTTGTCATTTTGTTCCATAGAGATTATATTGTATCAGTGTTTATGTAAGCTGGAATCATCCTCAGTTTTCTGTTGATAATTTTTCAGATAATGATACATGGATAATTGTAAAATACACTAACTCTTAGGGTGTTGTAATAGCTGAAACAAGGAGATGTGTAGCTGCCATGCTTTTTTGAATGGATGGGAGAAACATAAGCTACAGAGTATTCATTTTTGAGGATGCTTTTCTGGAAAAAGAAAGGCTAGAAAATATTCGCACTTCCTCAGAACCCTCTTTCTTGTTAACGGGTATCTTTTGTTGGTGTGTTTTGCTCTTACATTACAGATAGACTGTCATATATGAGTTTATGAATAATTTCAGTTATTTTGCTTTTGTATAAGCTGTCTGAAACCTTGCTATGCTGTATAAGTTGTGTTTGATGGGTCAGTGTGAGTATAAAATAAAGCAAATCACTCTTCTTTTGTATTATCTATGGATGCCACTATGAAAGCTGACATTAAGCCACTAAAGAGTTTTCTATGAATAAGTGTAAGTAAATGCTTTGATATATATAAACCTAAGTAAAAAGATTGTATTGATACAGAGACATTGGAGAAGGAGATTTTAAGGCAGTTCTTTAGGTTAAAAAAGGCTTGCTGTAAAATGGTGCATTATTCCGTTTATTAAAGATCATATTAATGACAATAGTAATTGTGTTTTTTTATTTTATGAAGTCACCAGAAATTATTATGATAATTAGGTTGTTTGCATTAGAATAGTAAATGTTCTATCTAATATGACTTTCATAACTCAGTATGATACATTTTTAAAAATCAACTAAATTTAGTATAATAGTTGCTATTCTATCCTGGCTAACACGGTGAAACCCTGTCTCTACTAAAAATGCACAAAATTACCCGGGCGTGCTGGCACACACCTGTAGTCCCAGATACTCTGGAGGCTGAGGCAGGAGAATCACTTGAACCGGGGAGGCAGCGACTGCAGTGAGCCGAGATTGCACCACTGCACTCTGGCCTGGGTGACAGAGTAGGACTCCATCTCAAAAAAAAAAAAAAAAAAAAAAAAAAGTTGCTTATTTTCTGACCACCTCTTATGCCAGGCACTGTGTTATTTTACATACATTGTTAATAATTCCCACAACAATCCTGCAAAATATGTGTTACTATCCCCTTTTATAAATGAAGAAACAAAGTCAGAGAAATTAAGTACTTTGCTTTGCCCAGTCACTGAACTGTCAAGTGATGAGATTCTAATGCATTTTACATTTTGCTTTGAACTGCAGGTTTCAACCTTTTATTTTTGGCAAGAGAAACTCAAAAATAAAAATAAAAATAGTTCAGTAGTTAAGAGTAACCAAGAATATCCTTGGAGTAATTGAAGGGTGCAGAAAAGCTAGCAGGTACCAAAACAGCTATTTCTATTGGCCTAATATTGTGTTTGTGCTTCACATCATCAAATCTTTTTGGTTGGATCTTTGTATCTTTTAGAAGGCCTTGCTAAAGCAGAATATGAGTTTGTGATGGCACACATTGTTTGTCTCCAGATTAATTCATTGTGTTAGCTAAGCGTCCTGGAGCAGGATCTCGTATCAATTCATGGGGCAACCATCTTTAAAAGGGTACTGGGCCACTTACTATATGCAAAGAGAACTTTTGCCTGTGGAAAACATGACCTACTCCCGTAAATTCTGTTGTCACCTTAAATAATACTTTATTTTAGGGATAGAAGAGATTTGGGGTATCCAAACCTTTGGACTCATATGCATATGCATATGCATAACCTTACAATCTGGTATGTTACAGGTAGTATCACTGCAGTTTTCTACAGAACCCACTATGTAATATTCAAAATTATACCTAAATGTCCTTAGAGAAAATGTAGCGACCTGGGAAAAATGTGTAATAATAACCTGCTGAACCTTTTGATAATGACTTGCCACAAGTAAAATATTTTCACTTACACCTCTCTGATTTACCTGGTTAACATCCTTCTCTGCAAAAGAGCTAATAAACTAGTGATTAATCTTCCTCTTTATTCTACAGTGTCTTTCAGATCAAAGGCCAACTTTATATTCTAGCAGCTTTTATTTTATTGATATGATTTATTATTACTTTTTCAAAATTGAATCATTGCTGCACTGAGAAATACTAAAAAATATAATATGATCCTTGCCTTTCCTTACTTAACAATTTCCTGGATTGGCCTTATCTCCTCCATGCCCACCTAGGAAATTATTGCATCCAATTAAGATAACATGTAAGTGCCCAAATAAGTGGTAAATTATATGGTCAATATGTGTTTGAAGAGTCAAAGAAGACTTCAGTTGAGGAAATTATTGTTGAACAGGGAATCAAAAGGATGGATGAGATTTCAACAAAAAATGAAGACAATATTTGAAGTGGCCAGAAGTAAGGGAGGACATGGACTGGAAATAAAGCAGGCAAAATAGATCCAAACTGATACACCTTTTGAAAGTGTTTGGGCTGCTGTCATAGACAATACAGAGAACAAAGTTTCTGAGGAAGGAAAGACCTTGGTAGAAGCAATATGATGAAGTTTGGACTGACAAGTGTGCAGGATAGATGAGAATGGGAGGGACTGCACCGGGGACATGAGAGAAACTACAAATAAAATGCAATTTCCATTGTGACTAGTAAGTCCCATTTTCAAGGGGCATCAAAAACATTTTTTTGAACAACCAGTGTGTGGCAAGTGCTCTTCTAGAAGATAAACAGCCCTGCTCTCAAGTTGCTCACAGTAGATTTGGAAAAAAATGATAGTACAAATTCAAGTGTTACGGAAGTGAAAGCCCAGGATGTTGTGAGAGTACTTGGCAATGATACTTAATCCAGTCTTGCTGAATCAGGTAACTTTTTGGTAACTTTGATGACTGTCAAAATGTGAGTAGGAATTAAGAGATGAGCAATGACTCTCTGCCTGAGAGGGTAAAGTTTTTTCAAGGGGATGAGAGGACATTCAGTGAGAGTAGGATTTGAGATGTTACGTGGAAAGATGAAGAGAGATGGCTACACACACAGCTGTTGCAGAAGGGTTAGCATGGTATTCTTAGTGTCTGAACTTACCCTAGAAGTCACGGAATAATTTAAACGATGGGTTTCCAAAATAGATAACTCAGTTGGTAATATATAGAATGAATTGAGAGGAAGGGAGAAACATAGAAATACATATACCTGGCCAGGCATGGTGGCTCACACCTATAATCCTAACTAACACTTTGGGAGGCCAAGGCAGGAAGATTGCTTGAGGCCAAGAGTTCAACACCAACCTGGACAACATAGCATGACCCTGTCTCCATTAAAAAAATAAACAAAAAAGAAAGAAATACACAGAAGAGTTTGGTCTTGGTGAGAGATAATGAAAGCCTTAAACCAAGGTTGCTGTCAGTGACAGCAGAGAAGAAGGAGCAGATTGAGTCTGTGTTAAAGATAATCAGTAGGACCCAGTGAACCATTAAGATGAACATTGGAGAGAAAAAGACTGTTAACTTCAGGGTTCTAATTTGGAAAGGGAGAGAAATGAAAAATTTCAGGAAATGTGCAGCTGACAAAGGGTCTTTCCTTTATAAGTTTTAAAAATATAAAAATTTTGATATATTCTGTCTTGTTATTACATCATGTGTTCAAATTTTTGGTTCCAAAAATATAGGTAGACAACTTTCACCTATGGTCTCTACAGAAATGTCTCAAGAACCAAGCCTCCCTGGGTAAGTCACACAGAAACTCAGTTTGATCTTTTTGAATGAATGTGTTATGAGACCAACTTGTTGCGCACAGGATTTGTACTAGGAAATTTTAATGAAGTGGCCCTGTGCCTGCACTTTAAAGATGAGTATGAAGAGCAGCCTTGAAAGGAACAACCTGTCCTGAAATGGGTGGTGGAAAGATGGTGAGGGGATTGTATCAATTGTAGATATGTGATCTTCCAAGTACAGCTCCCTTCTCTTGCCCAGTGCTTCCCTCTCCCATCAAGTCCTCAACTAGCTTAACTTCCCAACACTGGAACTCTTCGATTCCTGTCTACTTAATTAGAAAAGAAGGTGACAAAACTTCAAAACTATTTTCTATTCAAGGAAACATGTGTCCCTTATTTGTATGTTTAATTATTTTTGAAATTGTGATAAATGGGACAGATAAAAGGGAAGTTTTCCTTTGTTTACTAACTTTTCCAATGATGATTGAACTAATCAATCCAATCTTTTATATAAAATGTCATGGAAAATACGCTTAAATTCCTAAGGAAAAAAAGTATTTAGGGAAATGCATTATTCTCTTTGGATGTCATGCAGAACTTCAGAACTACTGGGTTGTTTTTTTTTTAAAGAAACATTTTAATAGCCAGGCACAGTGGCTCATGCCTATAATCCCAGCACTTTGGGAGACTGAGGTGGGTGGATCACCTGAGGTCAGGAGTTCGAGACCAGCCTGGCCAACATAGGGAAACCATGTCTCTACTAAAAATACGAAAATTAGTCAGTCAAAGTGGCATGTGCCTGTAATCCCAGCTCCAGAGGCTGAAGCAGGAGAATCACTTAAACCCGGGAGGCGGAGGTTGCAGTGAGCCAAGATAGTGCCATTGCACTCCAGCCTGGGTAACAGAGCAAGACTCTGTCTCAAAAAAAAAAGAAATTTTTTTTTTTGGTAAATAGGTAAGTTAATTTAACTGGCTTATTCATGATATTTGGTGATGCCATCTAGAAGTCACATCTCACTTTTAGAAAAGTAAAACTAAAAAAAAGTAAGTTAAAATGATTACATCTATCTCATTCTCTTAACTCCCACTGCCCTTTCTTAGCTGAGTTTCAAAACCCCACAGTGACTATATATAGTTTCTCCCTTCTCCAAGCAATGTTATACTTTGCTGCCAGTCATCTTTCTTGATGCTCTTACCAGGTTACCGGGTTCAAGCTCCTCAACCTGAAATTCCAAATTTTCTACCATATAGTAGCCATGTACCTTCCCAACCATATCTTACTCTATTTCTACTTTACACTTTATTAAGCTACTTAATTTCCTTACTAAATTGTCGGTCTTTTGCATCAGGAACAGAGTCTTATCAGTTTTTTCTGTTTCTGAAGTACCAATATTTAATTTAATGCTATTTTGATACCAAAATAGTCTTATTTTTATTTTAAAGTGCATTCTCATTTAACCTCTATTAACCAGGCTTCTTAGTACTCTAAGTGCTTTGAGTCACTCTGTGCTGGAAAGCAATTTAACTGTAGGAAATTTATTTAGTTATTCTGTGAGATTTGTGGCACATCTTTCTGGTTAAAAAGGACAAAATAATAAGCATTGAGGGAATGTATGGATGTGCGATATATACGGAGAACTTTAGATAAATGAGTAGCAGTATTACCTACATTCAACATGGTTGAATTGGTTCTAAAACCAATCATGGTTTTAGAAAGAGTAAAGATAAATTTGGAAAATAGGTCTTTCTTCAATGCTTTTACCTTTTTGGTTTTTACTACAGTGTTTCTATTTTTTACTTTTTCACTTTCGTTAATAAAACGGTAAAATCACGTTTCTCTGGTGCTCGGGGCAAATTTGTGCACCACTTTGACCACTAGGCGGCTCTCTTATTTCATGCTCTAGTAACCCGAGGCCTCTTCGTTCTTTTCAAAGGATACACAGATACCTCTGTTGTCAATTTGGTTCATAACA